TGCATCTATTAACTTTGGACCGAAGATAGTACACACTTAGATTTTTTTTGCCGAGATGGGCATCACCGAGCAGCTCGGCATTTTATTTTGCTGGAATTTCAGCAAAAAATATGTTTGTTAGCTGAGATCTCGGCAAAATTCCCGTTTGTTAGCAGAATTTCGGCAAGTTTTTCACTGAGATTCAGCAAAATAAAATGCCGAGCTGCTCGGTGGTGCCCATCTCGGCGAAAAAAAATCTAAGTGTGTACCAGAGCTGAGCCAAAAAGTTGAGGTCGTTGTAGCGTAGTACTAGAATTTCGACTAGAATGGGGTACGCTTATAGATGTACTTGGGACCAATAGGCTAGTCAAGTAGTGAGTCAATTTAAAATCGTTAGTTTTCACCGGTTGATAATACTGTTGATAATACTTGCTAACCTGCAAGATAAAGCCCTTTAAAGTTAGTGTTGAAAAATTATAAATACGTATGTAAATCCTTTACATGAAAAGATGGTTAGAATTGGTTCCTCGCTAACCGTTGTTAACAGCAGATAAATTAGAACCTGGTCGGGAACGTAGTCGAACCTGTCGTTTCGAATGAGATTGTAGGATCGCTTTACAAGTCTTACATTCCCAAAAATTTAATTTGTGGTTTTCACCACAATTTGAACATTTTTTTAGGATCTTCCTTCACAGGACAGTCGTCCTTAGCGTGAGAGGAATCACCACAATTCATGCTGGCAAGTAGCAATTTTTTTGTTCCGCGACCTCATCCCTGTTCCCACTTCACTCGGACATGGAGCATACGCCTAGCTTTTTCTAAGGCCTTAAGGTTGCTCAGTTCACAATAGACTTGAAGTGAACGTAATAAAAATCGTTGGAAATCTCGTTGCACGAATCGGGATTTCATTTTCATTTTGATTACTTGAACTGGCTCAACTCCAATTAATTTTGTCAATGCATCTTTGATCTTCTCCAGGGATTCACCACTGGGCAGACCTTTCAAGACAACCTTGAACAGACGTTGGTGTCGTAAGTGAAAAATTTGTGTTGGTTCTCAGTAAGATACTTGAGAAGACGTTTAAAACCGTTCAACCAATACACGGCATTCGACTCGACGCCCAATCTGAAGTGAAAACTGGAATTTAACGAAGTTGAAAAGTTCCGGGCAAAGAGCATGGAAATCGAAAGTGGATATCACAATAGGGGAAACCTTTCCTTCTTGGCATTAAGTCGGATGATGGATCATTCTCATCATCCGTGAGCATATCAAATTTGGTTGCTCATATAAATTTCATCAAAAGGGGGATCAAGAGATTGCCCTTCTTTTAACGTTTAGCGACAGAGAAAGTTTCTCCAAATCGACTTCCAAGCAGATTACTATCAGAATCCGAAGGGTCGAAGAGGAATTTTCCTACTCGATATCCAAGCAGGATTACCACGGGTAGGGTTCAAACAAGGATCTAAGAGGAATAATACAATCCCCCTTATTCTGCGAGTCACGTGACTCTCCATGCAAATCAAATGGAGAGTCACCTCACACGAGGTGACTATTGTCACCTCACCGGTGAGAGAGAGTCACGTGACTCGCAGAATAGTGGGGAATATAAATTTATATTTTTCCTCCAAATAGATTTCCAAGCAGATTACTATAAGAATCCGAAGGATCGTAGAGGAATTTTCCAAGCATGTTTACCTCGGGTAGGATCCAAACAAAGATCAAAGAGTCGAGCAAGGTACACAATATGCAGGTAATAAGTAACACTGAGAAGTGCGGTTTAAATTTGTTGTAACTATATGAAGCAGTACTCTACCTTCAGCAAAAAGCAAATAGAGCAAAGAGAGCACGATGCGGACTGGTAAAATAATTTCATTATGATCTCTCAGTACTGGTTAAAATGAATAAATTACTTCAAGAACTTTTGCTTGCACTTTATATTGCGTGCCCCTCATGATGTGACTCAATCCACTCAGTAATTTAAAGGGGCCTGGGATACAACCCATGATTTTTTGTGCAGTAAGCAAAAACGGACACCACTAGGCCAACGAGCTTGTCATATCACTACAAATTACGTCAGCCGCGTTGGTATCAGTGTGCAAATCAGGTGACGACGACAACTATCACGCGAAATGAAAAATCAGTAAGAACGAATGTACCTCCTTGGAAGGCTCAACCATGATTTCCGATCTGAATCGAGAATTGCATCACATCTATTAACCGGCCCCGACCGAACTCTATTGCGTTTTAAAGCGGGTTTTCCACAATCCACAATCCACCAGACCCCAACGACAAAGCGCCACTCTACCGCATCACTACCGTCGACACAACCCTAGACAAGTGCCATATAGTCACGAACTGGAATTCGTAAAAGGTATGACCATTTTGGAATACCCGATACAGACAAACGCAGGAAAAATATTACCCTTACCCCCCGCAGCAACTCCCATTCTTCCCCGGCGAGGAACTTGTTCAGCCCAAGCTTCTGTAGACTGTAGACGGGATTGATAAAGGGTGTCCACGATGAAATTGCCACACTATGAAATTGCTCTAACTTTTTAACCGTTGGGTAGAATTTAATGAAAATTTGGGTGGATTTAGTTCATAGTGCATTATTTACATCCTGCAAGTTTTAAAGTCCTGTGATCAAAACTCGCGGAAATGGAGTCGAAAGAACAGCTCGTGCGTGATAAAATCTTGCGCATTCATCACGAGAACAAGGATCTCTCGCATCGTTCCATCGCTAAAACGTTGGGAATCGCGAATTCCACGGTGTCGCGAGTGATTAAGCGGTTCGAGGAACGGTTGACCACCGATCGGAAGCCCAGAAGTGAAGGAAAAAGTATTCCGTACAACACCAAAAATCACAACCGCGTAGTTGGGGCCTTCAATCGAAATCCGAACGCCTCCGTTAGGGATGTGGCTAAGAAGCTGCACCTAAGCCGAAGTTTTGTCCAGAAGGCCAAAACTAAGGCTGGGCTTCGAACGTTCAAGGTACAAAAGGCCCCTAATCGCGAAGAGAAGCAGAACAAGTCCGCCAAAACCCGTGCCAGGAAGTTGTACCTCAACATGCTGACGAAAGTTGAATGCTGCATTATGGACGACGAAACATATGTGAACGCCGACTTCAAACAGATCCCCGGCAACCTGTTTTTCACGGCCAAGGATAAGTTCAGCGTTCCGGAGCTTGTCCGCACTCAGAAGATGTCCAAATTTGCGAAGAAATTCCTGGTTTGGCAAGCCATCTGCACGTGCGGGAAGCGGAGTGCACCTTTCGTGACCCAGGACACGATGAACGGACAGGTGTACATAAAAGAGTGCCTCCAGAAGCGGCTGCTTCCTCTCCTGAAGGCCCACAACGTCCCAACAATCTTCTGGCCGGATTTGGCCTCATGCCACTACTCCAAGGACGTGCTGAAGTGGTATGCGGACAATAAGGTCAATTTCGTGCCGAAAATGTTCAACCCTCCCAACACTCCGGAGCTCCGCCCCATCGAGAAGTACTGGGCGATTATGAAGCAGCACCTTCTTAAACGACCTAAGGTAGTGAAGACAGTCGAGGAACTGAAGAAAGTATGGGTTTACATGCAAAAAATTCTGCACAGGTTGTGCAGAATCTTATGGCCGGGGTTAAGGCCAAGGTGCGGGCATTTGCGTATGGACTGTAAATAAAATACGAGTAAAATGGTAAAATGAAGTTTAATAGTTATTTCTCAATCCCTGAAAATTTGATGGCAATCGGATGAAAACTCGAATTTTGCGAATCAATTTTGTGTGTGGCAATTTCATCGTGGACACCCTTTAGTATGTAATAGTATGAGAAAAAAACATTCCATAAACATTATTCGATATTTGGGCAATAAAACGTTTTGTGTATTCCAACAAATGTGAGTACTGTCTTTTTGCTTATTTGTTTTTTTTTAAGATCTTGAAATTTTGTTCTTAATCTGAAATCTTAAGAATTCTTCTGTATTTAGTGTAGTATACCATTCTCACATAGCTAACAAAACCCCAATCAATATGAACCATGCTAATAAATTATCCACTCCAGGCACCGAGCCATCGCTCGGCCAAGAATGCAATTATGCAACTTTACACAACCCATATGTTTGTCACTCGTCACTAGAACTGCAGCGCTCCCTCGTCCTCTTCCACCCTTCCCGGGTGGGCCAAGGTTGTTCGCGCAGCAAGAAAGGTTTCGAATGACAACGCCGGGCGCTCAACCAAAATATAACCATTATTTCCGATATTGCTAGGATGCGCATTTTTGGTGTCACTCCAGTCGTGTCACTCTTTTTCCCAAATGACTCTTTTCAACATTCATGAATCAATGTAACTAAAACTGTATAAAAGGAAAATGCATTTCAATAAACAAAAAGATTCTTAGTCTGAAGCTCGACCCGACTTCACAGTTGGCTTATCGAATAACTTCACAAAATAAGAAGCTAGTATTCTCTTTGCGAACCTACTACTGGTTCTCCCAGCTAGGCTCGCTAAAGTTGAGAAAGTCCCGTATGTAATTCGGTATGTGCGCGCGTTAAATTGTAGGATATCCAAAGATATCAAACTAGTACGATCTGGAAAATATTTCCAAATCCAAGATATCAACCATCTCAGAATCCTATCCGAAACTATGTCTGGAATTTTTAAATATATTCTAAGTTCTGGATCTATTTTTTTCTGAGTCAATCTCCTTGTTCACGCTTGCGGACTTACAGTTTTCTGCAATTGGTTTAATATTTTTCGGTCTAATACATAATAATCACCCATATTCTTGTTTTCGATCGAACCTATTTTCCATACAAAAAACTGCTTTTTGTATGGAAAATACGGTTCGAACGAAAACGAGAACATGGGTGAATAGCATGAATCTTCTTAAGGTGGTTCACAGGTTCACCAGCATATAATTCATCTGAATTTCCATAGAGCGTTACTAGTTGGTTAGTTCTATGAGAGCACTAATTTCATTTCTTTCAATTTCGTCATTAACGATAAAAACTGCTTTATTGTAAATCGATATTGATTAGCCATGTTTTATTATAGAGGCACGAATATAACACTTTTGCTGTTTAAACCTACAACAATGCATAACGTACGAATTCTAATGGTGGAACAATCTCAAATTGGTATGCACCATCACAATACCATGATCGTTACAAGCCTCGATGACTCCGGCATCGTTAGTCGATCCAGATGGACTAGCGATGTACGACACACCGCTCAACCGGGCCCTATCAACGTTGTCTCGGAACGGGAAGAAAGCATCCGACCCGAGCGATACTCCAGAGAACTGTTGGACCCAGTTCTGCTTATCGGAATCGGTCAGGAACTCTGGAATCTTTTCGTACATAGCTTCAAATTGAGCTAGTGGCATATCTTTACCGACCGTACCGTTGACGTAGTTATCGATGGCATTGGAGATTTCCGCACGTTTTACTCCTTTTTTGAACTGCATCGAAGTTACACGGGGATGTTGACGGAGCCACCTATTGAGGGAAAACTATTAATATATGTACAGGAGACCGTATGCAGGTCAAGGTCTTACCAGTTATCAGCTTTATCCCCAGCAAGCCGAGTGCAGTGTATACGGGACTGCTGACCAGCACCAATACCGACCACCTGACCATCCTTTGCGTAGCACACCGAGTTACTCTGAGTGTACTTAAGAGCAATAGTAGCCACGATCAGATCTCGGACGGCCCCATCCGGGAGATTCTTATTCTTCGTTACAATATTGGTAAACAGGGCTTTGTTGATATCCGCATCGTTACGCCGCTGTTCCATATGCAATCCAAAAAGGGTCTTCTTCTCCACTGGACTTGGCTCATAAGTTGGATCTATCTGAAGGACGCAATAGGCCCCATTTTTCTTCTTCTTCAACAAGTCCAAAGCTTCTTCAGTATATCCTGGAGCGATGATTCCGTCGGATACTTCACGGGAGATGATTTTAGCCGTCACCAGGTCGCAGGTATCGGATAGTGCTACGAAATCTCCAAAGGATGACATGCGATCTGCTCCGCGAGCACGAGCATATGCCGTAGCCAGTGGCGTTAGACTGTCGAACAAGTCATCGACCATACATAGTTTTGCTTGGTCCACTGTTAAGGGTACTCCCACTGCAGCCCCAGCGGGAGAAACGTGCTTGAAGCTGGTTGCAGCCGGTAGTCCTAAGGCTTTCTTGAGCTCACGAACTAACTGCCAGCCGTTCAAGGCATCGCACAGGTTGATGAAACCTGGCGAAGCGTTGACTACCTTCAACGGGAGCTTCTCCAAAGTGGTGAAAATCTGAGCAGGTTTCTGGTGTGGATTCATACCGTAGCGAAGGTTCAACTGTGACACTCCTGCTGAGTACTGCTTACGGAAGTAATCCGAAATGAGATTATCGTACTCAGCGGTATGGGTGAAGGCTTTCAAGGCCAACACTTGACGGGTTGCTTCAGTGGTATCTCCGAATTGCTTAATTTCATCGATTACCTTACCGTAGTCTGCTGGATCACACAGTACCGTAACTCGTTTATGGTTCTTCGCTGCTGCCCGCAGTAGCGTAACTCCTCCGATGTCAATGTTTTCAACAGCATCATCAACCGTCACGTCTGACTTCGAGATGGTCAAACCGAACGGATACAAGTTGCACACGACCAGTTGAACAAACTCAAAATTGTGGCTCTTCATATCGTTCAAATCGGACTCAGTCAGACGAGCCAGAATACCACCGTGAACCGCTGGATGCAAAGTCTTGACACGACCTCCCAGCATTTCAGGGGCTCCGGTTACGTCGGAAACATCGCGAACCGGAATTCCTTGTTCACGAACAGCCTTGGCTGTGCCACCACTAGCTACCAACTTCAATCCCAGCTGGTTGAGACCCTTGGCAAAGTCCAACAGACCGGACTTGTCGGATACACTAAGGATTGCTGAAATTATTAGTTTAGTAGAAATATTCAGAATGTTTCTAAATTTATCGGTTTCACCGTACCAATTTTTCCACTCGCCATGATTCTGCTATGGAAGAGAGCACGACTTGAAGATCCGCTCCTGTGCGTTGCTGGAAGTAAACTGTAGTCAAGGAGAAAGTAACGCTTAGTGATTAACTGATTGCTGAAACCATCAGGAAAAAAATATTTACAAGTTAACATGCAAACAACATGTGAAACGTTGCAGAAAGAATACTATCGCTCTGCTGGGGAGTAACAAATCAATAACTAGTTAGGTAGGTACAGTTGCACTATATTGATGGAAATTATGGATGCTTGACATCACGTTGATAGTCGGGGTTATCGGATGGAGGCAAGCGAAATGGAAAGGCTTATTTTTGTTGATTATATATAGGCTCTTGCCATGGTCGTATTTTGCACTTCTGATAGTAGCGCTATCAACTTAGTGTTCTTGGAGCACTTCCACAGTTGTTTATTGATAGCTTTCGAAGCCTGTACCAATTTTTCATTAGTATATTGTGTGGCCTGGCAATTACAGTGATACTCTGTGCCCAGGGTAGTCGAGAAATTTTCCAACGCGAAAAATTCCTAGAATGGACCGGGAATCGAACTTCAGCATGGTCTTGCTTTATAGCTGCGCCTAGAAATTCTTGAAAACTCAAGAGAAGCAGAGAAGATCAATAACCTTCAGAGAAGTTCATTGAACTTCAGGGAAGTTCTACAAACGGGGGGCGCAAACATGAGAGTTCACCACCTAAACAAATATCCTGAGTACGACTATGTTAGCACTTGACCGATTAGATTTTGATGTATTGTCATGTGCGTACGCCTCCTCCCTGACACGATCATGAGGACCGCGGAGGAATATTACTTCACCACTCCCACCTGATATGGAGTCAGCGAAACTGCCAACCCCATTCTGTTGATTAATTGTGCTATTTAACTAATTCTGATCAACATTGATATATGCTGTCAGTGCAGGGGTGGTAGTGCTGATCCGATATAATAGTAGTGACTTTAGTAACTAAAATTACGGAAATAGTGACCAAATAGTGACTTGTAAATACTGAATAAGTAATCATTTATATTGTAACATAGAAATTCAAATACGGTTTCATACATATTGAAATAAACTTTTTATGTCATGGAACTTAAAGTCAAATTTCATAAATTCCTCTAATTTAATCGAATCTCACAACGGAATCTCCTGTGAAGAACATTTAAGTGATTTGAATAATTTACTTTTATTTACGTTATCATAGCAAATACTAATTCCGATTTTTTATGATCTTGAATTTGATTCTGCGTTCGAATATCTAGTTAGATAACTTTTATAATTCGATAAGAACTTTTCACAGAATTTCTTTAGAATGATCTCAAGATTTTTTTTTAGAATAATAGTTCTTCATTTAAACTAAGAGGCAAATAAGCTTTTACAAACATAATATTGCATTTTTGAAATTCTTTGCAGAACAATCAACAAAATTCTTGATTATTTTGGTAGTTATCAACATCAAATATCAGAATTAAAGTGGACATTTTATACGATTGATGAGATGAAAGTAAAGAGTTGATTACTCCGTTATAATACGGCAGTGTGAAATTTGTATATCCAGCATTTTACGAGCGCTTAACCTCACTTTTTTGACATCTGGCAGTGGTTTGCTTACATGGACTTAGATAAAAAAGTTTAAAAAATTTATTAATTTTTTTTTAGATTTATTGGAGAGGAATATTTTTCAAACGAACATAGTCGGATATCATATCTTTTAATTCTTTTTATTTAAAACCTCAAATTCACTTGAATTGACTAACAAGCAAAGGTAAACAAACCACCACTGGATGTCAAACTGATGAATTCGGGTTCATGGCGTTCATTCGTGACGTCAGCGTGCAGCATCCTATAAGCGATCGTAAAATGCTGGATAGAAAGTAGAAAGCGAACAATTTTGAGGAACGTACGAATCGGGTAGAGTATCTTCTTTACCAAGCTCATCCGTTAATGAGGGATGGTGAGGGGTGTTTCCCCCTGCCACCACTGGCAAAAGGGATGATCGCCGATTTGCTCATGTACCTCCGATGTGCGGAAACAGTTCTATCGATTGTTTCACACTCAAGTCCCCATCTGACGTAAACAACTACTAGCTAAAGGCTAAAAGACTCTATAATAGAGCAAATAAAAAAACTACCAGATTCGTACCTTCATCAAAATTGATCTTGCTCGCTTTCTACTTTGTATATACAATATTCACACTGCCGTACTATAACGGAGCTATCAACTCTATATTTTAATCTCCTCATCTATCATATACAATCTGCACTTTAAGTCTGATATTTGACGTTAACAGGGCTGATAGCAGTGTTAAGCAATAAAAATAGTGAATTAGTGACTAAAAGCATTTAAAAAAGTGACTAAAAAGTGACCAAAATCATTTTAAAAAGTTACCAAAATGTGACTTAAACATGATCAGAAAACTTCCAGAAATAGAATCATGCAAATTGATTTGTTAGTCATCCAAAAAAGGTAGACATTGATTTCCTATCTGTACGCATTCGTCAAAAGTTTATATTGCAAGATCTTGCACAACTAGATTAAAAACTAACAACCGTGTAACACGACTTTCAATAACAGAGATATTTTACCATATTTGAAATTATTATGGTATCCTGAATTAAAGTTTAGAATAAATCTATTCTCTAACACGTTACGCGTTTTAGTTATGAACTATGATAATCTTTATGCGATCTGCGGATTTGCTTCACGAAGGTGCTCCGCGTTTGCTTAGTTACCTAATAAGAAGACAGGGAAATGAGGAAGCGAGATAGCGTTTTAAAATATTAAATGACATAGATACCCAGATCTAGTTTTTGAATTACTGAAAAAAAGCAGAATTCTTCTACAACAGGAGTTGCTATTCATTCTACTGGGCCGAACATCTACTGGATCGAACAAAGGCTGAATGTGTCATCAGGTCGTCTTGGGACAGGTTTTTCCGAATGTTTCTACCATAAAGTACCATAGTTTCATTAACCTATGATCCTAATTTTACCCATTTTTCAAAAATACAATCCAAATGTATAATGGAAACATTTTAAATGGAGCCAGAAATTTGATAGGTATTATTGACTAGTGTAAAGAAAAAAAATTGATTTTAAAAAATATTACAACATCTTTAGAAAACTATTTTAATTCACTCTGCAATGCTCATTACATTATTAATAATTCTTACTAGGAACTATGCAATTCTCACCTGAAAAATTACTTTCAGTTTTGCTTAAATTTCTCCACAAAATTTGTCAGAACCCTCTTGAAATTTTTAACCGAATTCATTTGAGGTTCAATAGAAATTATACTCATATTCAATTGTAATCCTATGATTTCTCCAAAAACTCACATAGAAATATGCTTCGGATTCTTTTGTCTCAGAATCTTCTTTAAATTATCCTCAGAATGTCCTCTTTTGTATTATCTTGAAGTTCACCTCAGAATGATCATGGTGTAATCCTCCTTCTCGTCCAAATTTTCTCATAATTCCTTAAGAATAAGAGTCAAAAGCTGTTATGAATTTTCATTAAAATTTGTATTGAATCCTATTCAATGTTGCCTTGGAATTGCCTCAGAATTGCCTACAAAACTAGAGTTCTAGGACATTGAAAATGATCCAAGGGTTAAATTTTATACACATTGACAAGAATAAAAATTTAAACTCAACAGGTACATGAACTTGGTGAAAGGTGAAATTTTAGAGACATGGATTCAAATTTAACTTAAACCAATCAGTAGATTAATTATATATAAAACCAAAAGCTACTTATTGATGAAGTGTTTGATTTTAGTTACCATAAGGTTCTTATATATTGTAACGAAATAAATATTTAACATGAGTATTTGAGACTGTTCAGTTATTTAAATTCCAACTTGCCGTATTTGAAGTTCCAGAGCTTTACAGAGCTTAACAGGATTATATTTCTCTGCAGAACACTAAAACAATCATCAAATTCGTCCTTAGATTCTCTTTGAATTATAAACTTTTTTAAAGAATTCACCCCCTTAGAAATTCCCATACTGTTTACCTCTGAGTTCTTATAAATTTTTAATCTGAATTGTCTTGGAGTTCTCCTCTAAGTTCTACTGAAAATTCACATGGATTTCTCCTTAAAATTATCTGGAACTGCTTTCCAAGTAGTTCCTAGTCCAATTTGTACCCAAGAAATTTTTCACAGGCCTACTTGGAAAAAGTTCTTTTAATAGTTCTTCAAAGTAACTGTATCCTGAAAATCTAGTCCCGGTCACCCTGATTATTTAATTTTGCAGTTGAATCTGGATTCCTCAAAGGTGAGAAATCGCAAATAAAAGTGTGCTCTGATTATGTATCGTCCAGGTTTCTTCTGCGTACTTCCAACTAAGAACTAAGCAGTGTAGCACTGTTACAATTTTATTTTTTTTAACGAATTTTACATTGCAATTCAAGCGGGAATGGCGAAAAAAGTGACTTTAGTGACTTTTTGTCGAAAATAGGGACTTTTTAGTGACCACCTTCAAAAAAGTGACAAAGTCACTAAAAAGTGACCCGCTATCAGCCCTGCGTTAAGCATCTCCGACTATGTTAATCGTTAAATTCATGCATGAAGTAATAACATATGATTAGTTAAGGTAGATTATTTCCGATTTTTTACTAATTCTTCTAGGAACTCCCTGAAGGCTCCTTCCATAAATCAATTTTAAATTTCTTTGAATTCTCCTTAGATTTTCCATGCAATTACCTCAGAAATTTTATAAATTTCTGCTTAGAATAAGCTTGAACTCCTCCCCTGCATTTAATTGGAAATTCAATTCGTATTCTCATTAGAATCCCCATAGTATTTCCACAGACAAACAGACGTAACTCTTCATTGTGTATCTTCGTTCATGCATTTAACGGTTGATTTGAATATTATCAGTTCCGCGAACTACTCGCCGCAGCGCTGGCATCGGATCACTTTGACGTTTCTATATTCTATAGAAATTTTATGCAATATTGTTTACGAGTTAGCGAGCAAGCTTGTTTTCCGCGAGAAGCCAGATAGATGTCGTTACTGAGGTTATATGTTTTGAGATACTATGTTTTCAAGAACAAGTTTTTCAAAGAGTTACGTCTGTTTGTCTGTGGTATTTCTTCCAAAATCTCAAAACAAAAATCCATCAAAGAATAACTTTGAAACTCTTCCCAGAATTCCTTTGAAATTGAATCATCATAATTCGATTCCATTGGAAATTCTTCTCGGAACTCTCTAGGATTATCTGGGAAGTATCTTCAGAAATCACCCCAGAATTCGTTTAGAACTATCCGCAGAGAGCATCTTTGGAGTGCACGGGATTTTCATGGAATTTTCATCACACTCCCTTATACAAAATTTCAGAATTAATTTGAATTCTTATTAGAATTGGGCCTCGAATCCAATTTTCGTAGTCTGTACTTTGGTATTATTCTCTGGTATATCTTGGTGTCATACCTGGAATCCCTTAAAATTCTCTTAAAATGTACTTTGGATTTTTAAAGTTCGTAATCATCCTTGAAAGGCTTTTGAAAATCTATCACAGACAAATACCTTTGGAAAGTTTCCAAGTTTAACAATTTATTTTCTGGGAAAGGAGGCATATTTCCCCGATTTTTAATTGAAATTGAAGGCATTTCCTAATAGTTTTCCTGGTGTTCTAAAGTTTTACGATTCACTTGTCACTCTGGTTAAAAATTTCAATTTTTTAACAGATATGTTTATTTTGTTAAAACTAATATAGACTTTCTAAGTGCCAAGTACTCAACTTAAACATTATTGATATTTTCAAATTTCATTCTATTTTAGTAGTGAAAAAGTGACTTTAGTGACTATTTTTAGGGAAATAGTGACTTTAGTGACTTTTTGGTGTAAAAAGTGACTTTTTAGTGACTGGCTTCAAAATAGTGACCAAGTCACTAAAAAGTGACCTGCTACCAGCTCTGTCAGTGTAAGCTAAGCTAACGGCGTTTCCCTATTAAAAAATTACCAATAAAAAGATGACAAAATGCCAATAAATCTAAATCTAAATTTTGCAATACAAACAATTAATTGCTGTATATATTTTGTGAGATTTTATTGGCATTTTGTATTTGTTTTTATTTGTCACTATTTAAGTTTTTCTGGAAAATTTTAGATTCTTTTTAATTAGAATTATTTCTAATATTGAAGTTAAAGCTTTGATTTTTTCATTTCAACTTTTAGGTTATTAATTGACATTTCTTCAACTATTTATGCAGTATTCAAGATTTTGTATTGCTAATGTTATGTTTGCTCTTGCTAAAGTATTTTTTGTTGCAACTTTTCAATTTATTGTGCTTCTTGTTTTTTATTACTACCTTTTAATATTCAATTGGGTTCTTTAAGAGCATTGACGTAAATGCAATTCGTAATCTGCATTACAAAATGGAACCTGAATACAAAATTTCATCAATTTTGGTACATTAGAACCACAGACAAACAGACATAACACTCAAGTTGTTCATCGAATAAGCATTTAACGGTCAATTTAAAAGTATCGTAGTTGGTAGTACCGCCACCTGTGGCGCGCATAGTCATTTTCCTTGCGTTTGACGTTTACACACTACCGCCATCTGTTCAGCGTACTACCCACCACAGTGTGCTCAACAGATGGTGCTAATGTTTCAGCGACGATGTTTTACAGTGAGAAATATTCAATCTGTTATGTCTGTTTGTCTGTGTTAGAACTATTTTAAATAAATGCGATGACATTGGCAAAAATCACCATCTTAGCGCTCCTCGGTGTGACTTTCTATGAGAGCGAGCTGTCAATTTATTAGTTTAGTGTCAAACGGTGAAGTTATTATTATTATTAAAAACCGAAATGAAAGCCTATGGGTACGCAAAAAATATCGTTGTGCTTTCGATATTTTTTTTCAAAATTAAAGAACCCAATTTCTCCTTTCCATTACGTTTACATTTTTAGATATGCTAATTTGCTTTTGGGCTGTTTAGGACAAAAATCTACTGTGACCAGTAGTTGATCTACACTACAGTCAACTCTCCATAACTCGATATCCACTAACGAATTATAGAACCATACGAAAACATAGGGTAAATGTTGGCTTCGGCACCCATTGACTGTTTTCGGCAACCAAAATTTAAACGTTAATTTCACTATGTTTTCCCATCAACGCACTTCCCTGAATGTGTCCAAACGATTGTTTAGCCTTTCAGCTTCAATCTGATTATATTTGAACGATCGAGCAATCCAGTAATGCTACATTTTTCTTCAAATAAAGCATACGCACTACAAAATGAGGTTGATTTCGAGTTGCCGATAATAGAACAGCTGGTTAACACGCAGTTCTAATGGGAAGGTTGCCGAAGAAAAAGAGACTGCCGACAATAGTCACACTCACCTGAGAAGTTTGGAGCGTTGTAAAAACGCTTTCAAAACGTTTTGAAAAATTCTGTCGATTGGAATGGAAGAGAAGCAAGCAGCAGATGAATGTAAACAAACAGACACATCATATATGTGCGTGACGCTGAGAAAATGCTAGTAGAAGTGCAGACGCTGCTTAGATTGACGAGAATACGTAAATTCCCCTATTTGCTGGCTACTTAGATCCTGATTTCCTGTATGGGATTGTTGCTATGTCCTTTATATAAGGTCCGGGCCAACAGGCTTATTGGTGTTAGTAAAAAGTGCAAATGTTTAGTGGTGTTCGTATTTCAATGCAATGTTTATCTTTTTACACGAAACAGCTGTTGGCAGTGACGTAAATATCACTGTTCACACTATGGTAGTCACTTGCGTGCTCATCAATGTTTACAATATTTTTGCTTCTAACACCAGCAAGCTGCCTGTTGACCCGGACCTTATATAAACGTCATTGGGATTGTTGTTCTATAACTCGATTAGAAATACTCAGAGGGAGAGATGGGCGGAGAAAACAAAATACAATTCGGCAGCAGGGATTTGTACCTAAATAATCTTGCAACCCTTGCTAGAAGCTAGCATTTCGCATGTCTTTTACTTTTGATTCGATTTACGTGTAAAATAGTAATTGAGTGCATGGCAATATTTTGCACATTTCTTGGTGCTATTAGTTAACAAACTAAGATCAATTAATCAATAGAGTTACAATATTGTTTTTTATTCAAAAAACTAGTTGAATTTGAGAAGCACACGAAACATAAAGGTGATTGAATTTCTGTTCGATTGCAATACTCTCTAAATTAATCTAGTAAGAATAAGAAATCATCGGAAAAAAATCTAATGGGAATGTTCGATTGGCTCAGATTTTGACAGTTCATTTGGCTCAAAACATTCCTTCCGCTTATCTCTCTCTCTGAGTATTTCTAAACTCGATGGTCCCTTCAATATCGAGTTGTAGAGAGTTCACAGTATTGATCTGTACCATTCCATACCAACTCCATCTACCATGTTATATGTAGTGCAGTTTAGTGCATGTCGTATTACTCCTCACTATTGCGACATCATCAAGTGGGATTTGATTGTTTTAAGTGTAACAATTAAAACGTTTAATCTACGCTACTCAAATAAAGTTGAGAGACCGCTGGCCAGACAGTTTACAAATCCAATACAAATAAAATATTTCTATAAACTGATGATTGTTCTTCACGTTTTTGACCTTGAAAGGTGAGCTCTAAATTGATGCTAACTACTATATGAACCCTTGGCCTATTTCTGATTTAATTTAAATCCACATATGCGCTACATAATTCAATTAACAACGAAATCAACTGATTTGGCCGAACCGGAACTTACTCTTAGCACAAAATCAATTAGAAACACAAACAAAACAATTATGTTTAAAAAGCACGTGTGAATACAAAGCCAAACATCGAACACCTTCCTATCCAAATGTGCTGAACCAACGAACTAAACAACTTCCTCGAAAACAAGTCCCACAGCCTTCTCGTACGTAAACGTAGGCAGATAGTGCAAGCCACAAATATCCTCACAGTTCAACAGATCAACAGGGAGCCTAACTGAAAACTCTCTCACACTCAATCAAGTCTACGCTTGTCGTTATTGCCGTCTCTAGATCTAATAAAAAATATGCTCATCATATCAGTGCCAACATTTCAAAGGGGCGTAATTGCATTTGTAAACAATGGCTTTAGCCGACGATATCTCGCGAATAAAAGCTCACTTATGAAAAATAATGACACCAATAGGTAGAGGAATATTTCCTCTACCATCTAGCGTTGTTATTTTGAAGGAGTGAGCTTTAAGATGCGAGAAATCGACAGCTAAAGCCATTGTTTACAAAAGCAGTTACGCCCCTTTGAAATGTTGGCACTGATATGTAGGTACACCATTCATATGATCGCTTCAACTGCCGGCTCCAGTCAGCAATGTCACAAATACTGCTAGAAGTCTAACAAAACTGTTACTGAAATACATCCAGCAGTTTGTTGTTTGCATATTCATCAGCAGTTGTTACTAGTTGATAAGACGACTAGCTCAGATGGTGTGGTGACCGGCCAACCAAATAAATCAAAAGCTCCTTTGGCTGTGTTCGTGATGCGATTAGAGGAAACCACGAGCTCGCGTATCAAAATGCGGTTCTTCTTAAGGTGAAGAAGGAAATTGTGTTCCTAACGACTAGAAGTATCAAGAGCTACTATTATTGCAAAACTGGTCCCACATGTCTCTAATTTTCCTGTCACTTTTTTTATTGCCTATCCATATACACTGGTGGAAATAAATATATTTTTTATAATGCGTTTATTTTCCTAGGCTCATTTACTGTAGCTTTGCGGAGCCGATATTAATTGTTTAGATAACAAAATTACTACAAAACTACTACGTTAGTAAAGCGGGGGCCGATTACTCGCGGCTATCTCGAGGTTAGGGGTAACAAATTGTAACAAATGGATGGCAGGGTAGGGATTGAGAACACAAGGTTTAGAGAGCAATGTGCTCTTGATCTCGAACTAGGCGACACTCTGATGAAAAAGACAAACATGGGGGTACACCGATGGGCAGCTAACAACTTAAGAGAACACAAGATGACACTAGCTGCTAAATCCTCAGATCTATCCGTTTTAAAAACTCATAAATTCAATTTAAATAGCCAAGTAAGACGGGTATCGCGGGTTGTTGTCTTCGGGCCCTGAGGGATGTGGATAACTCAGATCTGACAACACGGTGTAGGGTACATGACCAAACAACACGCTCGATATCATGATACCCACTGCACGCACATAAATTGCTGCCTGAGAGCCCAATTCGATAGAAGTGGGAATCTAACGAACAGTGATTGGACATAAGCCTTGACATAACGCGTATAAAGTCACGGCTCATGTCCAACCCTTTGAACCATGGTTTGTTCGACATCTGTGGGAGAATAGAATGTAACCATCTTCCCAAATCACCATCATTCCATTTTTGTTGATAACCCATGAGGACTTGCTGACGAGCAATGGAGAAAAATTCGTTGAAGGCAATTTGTCGCTCAATAATATCGTCTTGCGCTATGCCCACCTTAGCCAACGAGTCCGCTTTCTCCAGTGTGATTAATTCTATCACCGTGAGAAAGGAAATCGCACACGCTGAGCTTAAGAAGGAAATGACTAAGCAAGAACAGCAGATTGCTCAGCTATCGAAACGAATCGCATTGACAACTCCGACAAACTCCGAATTCATGCGTCAACCGCCATTAAAACGGCTCCGCGATGAAGGCTCGCTCACTAGCAAACCACTTGTTGGTGGTTCTAAAGCAGAAACAGGCGACAATGCCTTTACCGAGGTCCTTAATGTCGCTGAATCCACCGAGCTGTTTTGGCTGTACCTTTCTCGTATTCATCCTAGTGTGAAATCGGAATCAATCGAGAAGCTGGTCAGTTCTCAACTACCATTTCCGGACTAGACCCAGTCTGCTGATTCAGAATTGGAGCGCTGTAGACCCGAACGCACTGCATGTCGCATTATGGTAGACCTCGAACCACTCGATCCAGTCGCGCTAGCTGTTTCCCGCCATCAAAGTAGTTCTATTTCCTGCCATCAGAGTCGTTCTGGAACTGCGGTCGAGTTCGGTGGTGGGGTCTCCCAAGCATCGTCTTCAGGCAAGTATGCATACATTAGTTACAGTCATTTGCCTGATCAGTTTCCGTGTTCCAGTGCAACGCTTCAAGCACCTGCCGGCTGTTTCCAGTTGAGAAGCACTTATGACCGCCTTTTGGAAGCTTCTGGTTCCTTCAGCCCAGTCGTGCCGATTCCTGCCAGCACTCAGCATAGTCGTCCTGACCCCGTGGCTGGATATGGATCAGAAGTCTTCCAGCTTGCTTCTACAGGCAAGCACAATCTATATATTGACAATTCACTACCTGATGCTTATCAAATTTTCAGCAATTCGGACTATGTTAGTCATTGTGATGATGCCTGGGAACCCGGAACGCACCGTAGAAAGCCTCTTGGAAGCCCCCAATCCCTCCGCCTCAGTCCTGCCATCAGTAGCCTTCGTTCGCCATAGTCGTTCCGGACCTGCTGTCGGATGTCGGACCCACTATGGCGAGTATTCAATCAGACTCGATGATGGTCTGTTATTGCTATTGCCTGATGTATCTTTGATTTCCAGTAAATCTACTAGTGGAGGAGTCCTTGTAGCTGTCCGTAGCGGGTTGGAGGCAATGGCCATCGAGAACGATTCATGGAACAATATTGAGCAGGTACTCCCGAATCCTTCGAGACTTAACGATGCGTCTTCGTTATCCCCGAATGGTCCATCTGCTCATCCGGAACACACCGTAGATGTTTCCACGATTTCCAAGAATAATGTTGCTACCTCTACTGCTTCTAGACCACCACCATCACCACCGAGACGCATCGTGGATAGCACTGTGGAAGCCCCTGATTTCTCTGCCTCAGTCGCGTTTTTTTTTTTTTTTTTTTTTTTTTAACTCTTTATTTGTTCCAAATTCAAAATAAATTACATTTCATTTTAACCTAGGTGCTCCAGTTACTGCAGTAACGTACCAGCCTTAATTGTTATGATATATATCTAAGTGTTTTTACATTGTTCATGTCTTGGCAATTCAGTATTTTAAACAGGTTTTTTAACCTGCATGTCAGTATAACAATTGATATCTTAAAACTAAAAACTAAAACTAAATCTTATCTAAGTATAAAGGGAATTAATCGTTGCAATTGAGGATTGCAACGATTTTAGCCTGAAATTATTAATTATTTTGTTGGACATTTGTGCTAAAGTCTCAACATTCGAAATTCTATGTACTTCGGTAGTACTGTACCAGGGAGGCAACTTCAAAATCATTTTCAGAATTTTGTTCTGAATCCTTTGAAGTGCTTTTTTCCTGGTAGTGCAGCAACTAGACCATATTGGCACAGCGTAAAGCATGGCCGGTCTAAAAACTTGTTTAAATATTAGAAGTTTATTCGTCAGGCAAAGTTTGGATTTCCTGTTTATAAGAGGATACAAACATTTTATATATTTGTTACATTTGGCTTGAATGCCCTCAATGTGATCTTTAAAAGTTAATTTTTGGTCAAGTATTAATCCAAGATATTTCACTTGGTTTGACCAGGAAATTGGAACTCCGTTCATAGTGACTATGTGACTATTACTAGGTTTCAAAAACGAAGCTCTAGGCTTATGTGGAAATATTATAAGTTGAGTTTTGGAAGCGTTGGGAGAAATCTTCCATTTTTGTAAATAAGAAGAGAAAATATCTAAACTTTTCTGCAGTCTGCTGCAAATAACACGAAGACTTCTTCCTTTAGCGGAAATGCCTGTGTCATCAGCGAACAAAGATTTGTGGCAACCCTGAGGCAAATCAGGGAGGTCCGAAGTGAAAATGTTATACAATATAGGCCCAAGAATGCTACCCTGAGGAACTCCTGCCCTAACAGGTAGTCGATTAGATTTGGAATTTTGATAATTTACTTGAAGAGTTCTGTCAGTTAAATAATTTTGAACTAATTTCATAATATAAAGTGGAAAATTAAACTTTTTCAATTTAGCAATCAAACCTTCATGCCAAACACTGTCGAATACTTTTTCTATGTCTAGAAGAGCAACTCCAGTTGAGTGGCCTTCAGATTTGTTTGAACGAATTAAATTGTTAACTCTTAAGAGTTGATGAGTAGTTGAATGCCCATGGCGAAATCCAAACTGCTCATCTGCAAAAATTGAGTTCGTATTGATGTGAAGCATCATTCTATTCAAAATTATCTTTTCAAAAAGTTTACTTATTGAAGAAAGCAAACTTATTGGGCGGTAGCTAGAAGCTTCAGCTGGATTTTTATCCGGCTTCAAAATTGGAACAACTTTTGCATTTTTCCATTTATCAGGAAAGTATGCCAAATGGAAACATCTGTTAAATAATTTTACCAAGAAAGACAAGGTACTCTCTGGGAGTTTTTTGATGAGGATATAGAAAATTCCATCATCACCTGGAGCTTTCATATTTTGAAATTTTTTAGTTATAGACCTTACTTCGTCCAAATCAGTCCCCCAGGAATCATCAAAAATATTTTCCCGAGAGAAAATATTCAGAAAATCCCGAGCCACCTGATTCTCAATAGGACTAGTAAGACCCAAACTGAAATTATGGGAACTCTCGAATTGCTTAGCAAGTTTCTGAGCTTTTTCCAAATTTGTGATCAAAATTTTACCACCTTCTTTAAGCGCTGGAATAGGCTTTTGAGGTTTTTTCAAAATTTTTGTGAGTTTCCAAAAGGGTTTGGAACTCGGGTCTAATTTAGAAATATTATTTTCAAAAGTTTTGTTCCTCAGGGCAGAGAATCGCTTTTTAATTTGTTTTTGCAAATCCCGCCAGATAACTTTCATGGCAGGATCGCGTGTTCTTTGATATTGTCTCCTACGGACATTTTTAAGACGG